TTTTGCATTTCCTCCCCCTATCCCCCTTCTCGTTTCTCCAGAGCCAAGGAGAACGTCTCCTCTCCCGGGAGGCACCTGAAGAACTGAAGCAGCAGCCTCTTGCTCTGGGGTACTTCGTCTCTACTGCCAAAGCTGAGAACCTCCCTCAGTGGTTCTGGTCATCCTGTCCACAGGCCCAGAATCAGTGTCCCCTCTTTTTGAAGGTTTGTTGGACATTTTTTGAAAAGAATGCCATTGCTTCTCGTGGCATCTGTAACCTGAGTAGAGCTCTTTTACTCTTGGTCATAGATAAGTTCTTAGACCCACCTTTGTAAGCGCCTTGTATGTGCTGTAGAGAAATGCACTCAGGGGAATGTTGCGTTACCATCTTTGGCACGACCACATCCATCTTATCTCAGCCAGCACGTCTTGCTCTTTTGTAAGAATGTACCTCAAGCGGACGGGACGTGGGTGACGCTGTGGGTTAAACCACAGAGCCTAGGACTTGCTGAAGATCGGCGGTTCAAATCTCTGTGACGGGGTGAGCTCCTGTTGCTTGGTCCCTGCTCCTGCCAACCTAGCAGTTTGAAAGCACATCAAAGTGCAAGTAGATAAATAGGTACAGTGGGAAGGTAAACGGCGTTTCCGTGCGCTGCTCTGGTTCGCCAGAAGCGGCTTAGCCAGGCTGGCCACATGACCTGGAAGCTGTATGCTGGCTCCCTCGGCCAATAAAGCGAGATGAGCCCCATAACCCCAGAGTCGTCTGCTACTGGACCTAATGGTCAGGGGTCCCTTTACCTTACCTCAAGGGCAGGGAATTGTAACTGGGTTGTATGCTCCACTTCAGATCCCTGGCTCAATCCCTAGCATCCCCACTTACTGGCACTGAGAAGGGAGCCTCGTTCTGAGACTTAGTCCAAGTTTCATGGCTAAGCATGGATTCAAATGCCTGTCTCCCTAGTCCAAGCCCTCTTGGATGGCCAGAAACCTCATTTTAATGTTCACAGGCTTTCTTCCCATCTCTCCTACCCCAATGCCCACCCCGGACCAGATTCATGAATGCTGTTCATAATTCAACTTGGTGTTATTGTTAAAACTGGGACCAAAGCTCTCAAGGGTTCCTCTTGCCTTCCTGTGAGGTGCTTGGCCAGGGTGGGGTGGGAGGACACTTACCTAGATCAGCTGCAAACTAAGCACCTCAGTGAAATGCATGTGGGCTTGCCGAACATGGTGATAGCAGCAGTTCCTGCTTTGGTCAGCAAAAACAGATTCTGATGTGATGTGGTTGGGCAGCGAGGGCCAAAATTGCTTTGTTAGGGGTTCCCCAGGGCACCTTCCTTGCATTCAGCCCCCCTTTCATATTTGCAGAATTTCCATAGCTCCACCCTCCCCGTAAACGGCAAGAACCAGTCTTGATCTCTGGCTGAAGGAACTCTTTGGCCAGCTTTCCCCCCACCAAGTTGAAGGAAATGTCTTTGGCCAGTACTTGTCATGGGCATCTTTTGGGCATGTTTTGAGAAGGTTGTGGTTCAAGGGGATGGAGGAGAGAGCAGAACCGCTCTGTAGATTACAACCCCGCTAGCCCAAGCCCTTTGGTCACCTTAGAGTAGCTGCTCCCTCGTCGTCAGGTGGTGGTTATGAACCTGGAAGGAAACTGCAGCAGCCCTGTGTGGTGACACCTGTCTTTTCCCCAAAACAGGCATCGTTGCATCACCACATCTCTGTCGCTCACACGGATGAACTCCTCCCTGCACGGAACTCCCAGAGGGTTCCCCACCCCTTGGACTCTAAAACCACATCTGATGTTCTGAGGTAACTGAGTTTTGTGTCTTTTCAAGCCCCGGAAATAAGTGCTGGCCTTTGACCAGCCCTTTGATCTTTGCTCATCTGCTTTGAAAGATGTCTGTTGGCTCGTTCTGCAGACCTTTATGGGAGGGGCATGTGCAAACAGCCCTCCTTTCCGTTGGCCTATCGTTGCAGGGCAAGGGTGGCTGGTGCACAACAGGACTGGTGGGATGGAAAGCAGGGAGACCAACGGTGGGCAGATCCAATGAAAAACAGAGCTGATTCTGCCCCATCCTTATCCCTGCTGCATCCTACAAGGGCCTTGCTAAGGCGCTGCAACCTGTCAGGCCCACCACTAGACTGGCTGTAAGGAAGAAGGCAGATGGTTGGAGAGCTAGCAAAGGGCAGATTGAGGTTTGCGGGGCAACACCCCATTCACTAGCCAGCTTCCACTGTTGCAGGAATTTCCAGCCTAGCTGCCAGGAAGGTTGAGCCAGAGAGTGGTGAGAAATCGTCACTAGCATTTGACAACATCCTTGATAGGAAAAGCTTGAAACTTTGAAGATTTTAGGGCAGGCATAGGCAAACTTGGCCCTCCAGATGTTTTGGGACTACAACTCCCATCATCCCTAGCTAACAGGACGAGTGGTCAGGGATGATGGGAGTTGTAGTCCCCAAACATCTGGAGGGCCAAGTTTGCCTATGCCTGTCTTAGAGATAAGGTCATTTATTTATTAAAGCTAGTGTCTATTGTATTTTTTGGTGGCCAAGGGAAGGTACTCACAATCTCCTCTTAGAGCCTTGCCATATACAGTTGTGTCTTGGAGAAAGAAGCTACGTTTCACCCTGCCCTTTAGGCAAGGCTATGCTTCTCAATATTCTGTCTTTCCAAAATGGAACAGCAAGCTGATCTCAAAATATTGAGCAGTAGGAAAGAGAAACCTCCTTCCTTACAGACCTCCCCCAGGTGTTAAGATCAGCAGGCAGGCTGCCCTTGGTAGTCCCACCTCCCTCAGACGTCTGGGGAGGGTGCCTTGGGATAAAGCATTCTTTGTGGGAGCCCCTAGGCTGCAGAATTCTCTCTCCACAGAGGTGTGCCTGGCACCTTTGCAACACACCTCTTGTCAAATGCAGAAGGCATACTTACCCTCCTGCGATATATACTTTTTTCAGTTCAATTCTCAAACCTTTATTGGCATTTATACAAGATTCCAATAAGGTTCAGTACAATAAAATCACTCAGCAAAATCTGCACCTAACACTTAAGTTAATGTTGTATAACATTCACAAATCCTCATTGCATGTTGCAGAAACCTGGCTACTATCTCCATCTTACCTAATAATAATAATAATAATAATAATAATATTGTATTATTTGTACCCCATCCATCTGACTGTTGCCCCAGCCACTCTGTGGGGCTTCCAACATATATAAAAAATAATAGAACATTAGACATCAAAAAGCTTTTCTGTACAGGGCTGCCTTCAGATGTCTTCTAGAAATCAGATCGTTGTTCATTTCCTTGACATTTGATGGGAGGGTATTCCACAGGGTGGGTGCCACTACCGAGAAGGCCCTCTGCCTGCAGCACCTTATTTCTGTGTATTAAAGAGTTTTTAATACTGTGTTTTGATTGTCATAACCTGCCCTGGGACCTGCTAGTGAAGGGCAGGTAATTGATATATCAGTAAATAATAATAATAATAATAATAATAATAATAATAATAATAATAATATAATATACCCCACCCATCTGGCTGGGTTTCCCCAACCACTCTGGGCAGTTCCCAACACAATATTAGAAACACAACAAAACACCAAACATTAAAAACTTCCCTAAACTATCTAAAACTCCGATAGTTGTTTATTTCCTTGACACCTGATGGGAGGGTGTTCCACAGGAAGGGTGCCACTACCGAGCAGGCCCTAAAGGTAGAAGCCTCGGGAATTGCAGGTTGTGGTACAGAAGGAGCCCCTTGTCCTGACCACCATCCCTTTTCTTTCCCTTCTCCTCTCCTGCAGGTTTGTGCTGGAGCAGTACAATGCACTGTCGTGGCTCACTTGCAACCCCGCAACTCAGGACCGCAGCTCCTGCCTTCCTGTCCACTTTGTGGTGCTCACACAGCTATACAATGCCATCATGAACATCCTCTAATCACCCGGAAGCGCCTGGATGACCTTCCCCTTCAACCTGAGAAAGACGGGCCGTGGCTCGCGAGGGTCGGAGGAGTCCTTCTCCTCGTCGGACCCCAGCCTCTGGGGCCCAAGCAGCGCCTTGTTTCTTCCAGGAATAATAACAGGAGGCTTCTCCAGTGTTTGTGGAGTGTGCCTGGTGGGCCACATCAGGACTTCTGCCAAGCATACCAGACAGTGAGATGTACCGCAACCTCAAGGGCAGTGTTAACGCAGTGGCGGGACGTTAATGGAACAACGGACCACAGAAGACAGTGTCCTTCCGTTTTGTTATTTCCTTTTTTGTTATTTTCTGTTTTGTTGCGCACGGATCTCTTTGCCTAAGAGACAAGTGCCCTCCTTTCCGAGCGAAATGTTGTCGTGACCAGTTTGGGTGGCCCAAAACTCTTAACATTGTTCCTTGAAAAACCGCCGGATGAACGTGGCTGCAATGAAGAACCAGTTCTTATAGTCTTTTCAAAAGAAAAATAGTGGGATTTCTGTCTACCTGCAATTCCTGTCTGAGTGGATTGGGTTGAATGCATGCATTTGTTACCTGTCCATGTAGATGCGAACGGTCTTGGAGATGCTCTCTTCGAGTTTTGTTTGTTTTTTAATTTATTAATGGGGGCTGTTAAATTATAGAGGACCAGGTACAGTAGTTGATCCAGCTATGCTCTGCCAAGAAGTATTTATCGACATACCTCGCATTCTTCTGACTGAGAAATGGGGTAAAAACCATGGAGGAAATCAAAAAAACAAAACAAAACCAAGTTAGGAAGAGCATTCGAGGAAGAACTTTAGGAGTCACTATTTTTTTTATTATTATTATTACTATCTTTGGTGGACTTTTTTTGGTTAAGGAACTCTAGCGAGGTTTAAATAAAGTCACATGAACAATAACGCAATGCAGGACAACAGACCAGTGGGAGGCAATAAAACACTTTAGCGTCGAGGCAAATTGAAGGGAGAAATACTGATTAAGAGAGGAGTCTGATGGATGTGGAAATTGTTCCCGAAGCTCAAGTCACCTATAAACTGGGAGAGACTCATCTGTCATATATTTGTGTGTGTTATGTATGTATGTGTGATATATATGTGCATACACACACACACACACACACACACACACACACACACACACAGATTGTTTACACTCTTATCAGTTTCGAATCTGGTGTATTTGTCTATAGGAAGAAAAATATTATTTCAAAGAAATAATTTTTAAAAGTTGTATCATTAAATTAGTACTTGAAAATGAAAGACCACTGAGGTGGAAAAAAAATGAATCGGTTTAGTTAAAATGTTTGCCATTTTTTTAAAAAAAGTTTAAAGCAAATCATATTATTTTTATGACTCCTTAATTCTAGGATTTGAGAAGTCTATGCTGTTAAAAGATCCCATTTCTAATGTTTCTCTTTGCACTGTGGGCAGGCCTGGGCTGCTTTAAAGAAGAGGAATCAAGTATTGTGGGGACGTGGTCCAGGTTGCTGACCATCGTCCTTAGAGAGAATACCATTTTTGAAGTTCTTCCAAAAGTCCGTCTTGTTCTGGTTAAAAAAAAAAAAAGGAGAAGAAGAAAATAATAATAATAATTAATTAAAATTTCTATGACTTTAAAGAATATTTTTCTTGAAATGATGGTGTAAGGTTTAAAAACAAAATTTATTATTAAAAATAATAATAATAATCCCATGCGTGATGGGTGAAGGGATCGGTCAGAGGAAGACCCTGTAAATGGATCGCTTTTATTCTCTGCTCTAGGGGCAGGGCAGGGCAGGGGGGACCTTTGCAATGTACAGGAGGGGGAAAATCAGATATATCAAAACCATTTGTATCTAATGTATACAGTGTAAAATTGATTTTAAAAAAATATTGCATTACTATTTTTTCTTAATCAGAAAGGAAAATTCTCAAGGCCTTTTGAAGAGCATTAAAAGATGAAGATTGTAAACTTGTATACAAAAAAAAACCTTGGTGAGGAAAACTATGTAAAGTTATCTTTTACCATTTTGGGGATTCTTTGTTCCCAAAATTCACCTGAACTTTGAATTAGAGATGGATTTACTTTTACCTTTTTTCTTTTTAATGGGCTGTTTTTACCAAGGGGGTTCTTTCCTTCCCCAGAGATCCAGTTCTAATGCAAAAATTAAAATGCCTCCCCCCCCACTACCCCACAAATAAGGGGATGGAGGGGTAGCGAGAAGTAGTTTTCATCTGGTGGTGTTTTTATTTAATTTTTTTAAGTTAATAGAAGCTGGTAACATATTTATACATTTTTGTGCAAAATAAATGAATGGCAATAGATTTTAAAAAGAAAAAAAATCTTATGTACTTCAGTGTGAAAATCTGTATAATATTTCCCTTTAAAATATGCATTATTTTACTTGTGAGTTTTTTACTGAATTAATCTGAAATGTACAAGCCCTGGATTTCCTACAGAGTGAAGAAGTTATTTTATTTTTTTTAATTTCTAATTTTGGAAATCATGCAGAAATTGGAATTATAACAGTTTGAGCGACGTGGGTTAGGGTGGGTGGGTGGAGGCAACAAAGGGGTGAGCAGGGGGTGTCCAGCATGCTTGTATGTATATTTCAGAACCTTTTTTAAATGTAAAAGCTGTACATTTCTTGGGGCGGGAAGGGGAGGGGAGTTCTGAGCTTTTTTTCCCCCTTGAGCATTTTTGCAGTGAGCCTCTTTTATATATAGCCAACAATTTGAAACAAAAACAAAACAAAACGAGAAAAAAAAAAAAGAACTACGTGAAGTTCATTTTAAATCTTACAGTATATCGCTGGTACAATACACTAAAAAAAAAAAGACTTTGATAAAAAGAAGAAACAATAATAATAAAGACCTCCATTTTAAATGTCATTCATATATACCTTGTGGATGAGAGCTATATACTTTTACACACTTTTTTAGATGAATAAATTATTGAATTACTGAAACTCGTGTGGGTTTTGCCGCTCTATTTACGTGCTGGTGACTCAAGCTGCTTGTCGGCCTATCTTGAGTTAACTGTGCTCTTTTTTGGGGGGGGGAAGGGCAAGGCGATAGGATAGCTCAGTCAGTAGAGCACAAGACTCTTAATCTCAGGGCTGTGGGTTCGAGCCCCACGTTGGGCAAAAGATCCCTGCATCGCAGCAGGTTCGATTAGATGCATAGCTGTCAACTTACAGATTTGAAAATAAGGGACCAGCAGCCTCGAAAATAAGGGATCAGCAGCCAAAATAAGGGATTTTAGTCAACCAGCAGCCAAACGAAGCCTCAAGTGGTGGTTCCCATAGCGCAGCAACCTGGCAAAGGGGATGCAGCAAGGAAAACCACCGTCACCTCTCCACTGGGAAACACTGAGCAAAGGCGAGTCCCCAGGCAACACGGCCGATTTGATTGGCACAAGGCATGCAAGCTCCACCCCCCAGTCGTTCTTAGACTCCTTATTGGGTGAGCAACGCAGCCAAGCAACACAGTTGGAGCCTCCCTCCTCCCTGGCCGGCAGGGAGGGAGGGAGAGGAGCTGCTTCCTTTGAAACCCGGGAAATTTAAGGGACATCATCAGTAAGGGACAGCAGCGGGACATGGCGCTGGGATAAGGGACTGTCCCGCCAAATACGGGACGCTTGACAGCTATGATTAGATGACGCTCATGGTCTCTTCCAACACTACAATTCTATGATTCCACAGTCGTGAAACATTGGCCTTGTTCCAGCATATCATAGTAGACCAGGGCTGCGTTCACACGGCAGTTTATTCCATTTCCCCCACGTTTCCTTAAGCGATAATTTCCACTCTATTTGAGCTGTCACACCACGTAGAAGCTGCTCCCAGAAAACTAACGCAGTACAGTGCATCTTAAAGCACTCATTTCTGTGTTACTTGATTCCGGGGGGGGGGGGGGGGAGGAGGCCATTTGCAACCTCCTTAACCCAGAAAATCACAGGAGGAAAGTAACAAACTTTGGGGCAATAATCCTGGTATACAGTTATTTCCTGCCATTTTAACGGAAGCAGGCATGTGCAGAAAGGGTGGGGGATGATGTTCATTGTGCCACGCCACGCCCACTGGTCTGATTGAAATTCAGAAACACTAGTATTATAATTTCAACTTACCTGGGCTGCATAAATGTTCTGACTCCTCCCGAATCCTTTTAGTGCAGCACAACTGTGCTTTGCAGGGGCTGATGGGAAGTTGTAGTCCAAAACCTCACAAGGGCGCCAAGTTGCCAAAGCCTGCTTTCAGGTCCAGGATAAAGCCTCTACAACCTCTTGTTTGCAGGAGACTTTCCTGATACAGTCGGAAGTCAAACAAAATCCATTCTGGAAGTCCGTTCGACTTCCAAAATTTTTGGAAACCAAAGCACAGCTTCTTGCAGCCAATCAGAAGCTGCGGAAGCCCCGTCAGACATTTGGCTTCCAAAAACAGTTTGCAAACCGGAACAGTCACTTCTGGGTTTGTGGCGTTCGGGAGCCAAAACGTTTGAGAACTAAGCTGTTCGAAAACCAAGGTACGACTGTTCTTCCAGTTGTCTTTCCCCACCCTTCTCACAAGGATAATTTGCTTGAGTAGGGGAGGGGCCACTGGCATGGAGGGCTGTGGGCATGCTGTATTAATACTTGGCTTTCCTAAAGTTTCTCGAGAAAAACCTCCAAAAGGATTGCTTAACCCTTCTCCTCTAAAAAGAAAAGAAAGATACTGCCCTAGAGAACTTGGGGGGGGGGGGAATGAACCAATTGCTTGCCAAGGGTTTATCCCTTCCGTCAACTAGAATGGACCAGGGATATTTTTCCCCCAACACTATGACTTTACTGTGCAATGCAGTCTCTACAGCTATTTGGATGGGATAGGAGCGATCTACCATCACTCCCCAAGTTTTCCAAAGCCTTCATCTGAGATTTATAATGCAGGATGGTGCCCTGAAAAGAATAATTCCGATTCTGTGAATTTTACTGGGAAGAGAAAGGCAAAGAATCTTAGTTTCTCAGCATTCCATCCCATCTATAACGCTCCTTATTATAATAACTTGCTCCAGAGGCACACATATTAGGTTTCAAGGCAGCTGCTTCCCAAGTCGAGGTGCTGTCGCCCCTGCTCATGCCAACTCCTGTTGCTTGCCAACCTTGCCCACCTGCTACTCCTGCCAGACCCTCCACCCTCTCCCTCTGGCCCTCAACCAAACCCACCCGGCCCTCGCAGTTCCTGCAGGTCCCCCATCCCTAACCCTGTATGGGCAAATTCGTGGAGGAGGAGGCTTGTCAGTGGCTAGTAGCCACAACAGCTATGCTCTGTGTCCACTGTCAAGAGGCAGCAATGCTTCTGAGTCCCAGTTTCTGGAAGCCACAGAAGGGGAGAAAGCTCTTGTGCTGGGGTCCTGCTTGAAGGTTTCCAACAGGCATCTGGTTGGCCATTGTGAGAACAGGACGCTGAACCAGGTGGGCCACTGGCCTCATCCAGCAGGCTCTTCTTAATGTTCTTAAGCAGGCACTGAGCTGCTTCCAATATCCTCTGTCCGCTAGTGCAAGGATGAGTTCTTAAAGCGTTGCACAGCTTTGAGGAATCCAGCGCAACATTTGCAACAGTTACCAGCAACCCGCTTGCCCGTTCTCTTGCACCACCATTTCCCGCTGGTTCAAAGCACGTTTCATCAGCGGAACAAGTTTACTGCCAAGTGACTTTAACACAGCGCAATCTTTTACGTCTCTGCAGGCATTAGAAGAGCTGGATCAGAGCCAGGGTGTGCATCATAGGAAGAGCTCCAATGTGTGAGCTGCGGGTGTGTCCTGCTTTTCATTATCACGCAGTTCAAAGCAGGGCACGGGCGAGTCTGAAATCACACGGCGGCAAGATGCAAGCAAGCCCAGAAAAATAATAAACATTATGGGCTTTCTTCTTCTTTTTTGAAAAAAATATCAAACCACTTGCTATTTTCGCTGAAACCAGAAACACCTTCAATGTCCCCAAACAGGAAGGCTTTGCAACGGCAGCTGCTATTGTTGTTCCCAGCGTTAATGCAAGGGAGACAGCTACCTATTTTCTTGTGTTTGAAATGTGATCTTATTGCTTTGGCAAATGTTTGGAAGGGGACAGAGACAGCCTATGCTTTCAGACCCGACACCGGTACCCTCTTTGCAGTTCACCAGCATCAGAAACCACGGGCCCCCTAAAAAACTGTGTTAACCTGCAAATGGTAACCACCAGCTTTTACACAGGATTTAAAAATCAAAAAGCAAACAAAACAACCTAGAATGTCCTGCTTTTCCTTAGAATGCCCCAATTTTCAGCAGAGAAATGTTGGAGAGTATGGAGTTAGGCAACCCCTGAGCCAAGGAGATAAGTAACCAGACAATATTTAGAAGACATTGGAAGGCAGCCCTGTATAGGGAAGGTTCTTTAATGTTTTGTTATGTTTTCATATATGTTGGAAGCCACCCTGCATGGCTGGTGCAACCCAGTCAGATAGGCAGGGCATTAGCAACAACAACATTTATACCCCGCCCATCTAGCTGGGTTTCCAGCCAGATGATGATGAGGAGGAGGAGGAGGATGATTGAATGTTGTTGTTGTTTAGTCGTTTAGTCGTGTCCGACTCTTTGTGACCCCATGGACCAGAGCACGCCAGGTACTTCTGTCTTCCACTGCCTCCCGCAATTTGGTCAAACTCATGCTGGTAGCTTCGAGAACACTGTCCAACCATCTCGTCCTCTGTCGTCTCCTTCTCCTTGTGCCCTCCATCTTTCCCAACATCAGGGTCTTTTCCAGGGAGTCTTCTCTTCTCATGAGGTGGCCAAAGCATTGGAGCCTCAGCTTCAGGATCTGTCCTTCCAGTGAGCACTCAGGGCTGATTTCCTTCAGAATGGAGAGGTTTGATCTTCTAGGACGTCCCTGTTTTCATCGGAGAAATGTTGGAGCACATGGCTGTACAGTCTAAGAAACAAACAGTATGCTATATAAACAAGAACAACAACAAAAACACCCCTACAACTGATAAAACAGCAATACAAGAAGATATAAAAGCACATTTTATAAATACTAACTGCAATGGCTATGCTTTGCCAGCACAGTTGGAGGCAATAATTTCCAGTTGCTGGAAATCACTGGAGGGGACGAAGGGCTTTTCTGTTTTGGTCCTGCTTGCTGGTTTCCCGCAGGCATCTGGTCGGCCACTGTGAGAACAGGATGTTGGACTAGACGATCCATTTGCCTCATCCTGCAGGGCTCTTCTTATGTTAAGATATCTGGAGGGTTCAAACAGGTTGGGGAAGCCTAACGTATTGAAAAGCTGAAGTCATGCCTGTGTTTGCCCACCAGAAGTCAGGCTTTGACAAATAAGAAAGTCCCTTGCAGAAGTCCGCTCTGCCTTCTCTTTCTGCTGTCCTCTCCAGGATGCGGAGCTCCGTGATGGAAAGGTCAGCCCTGCGACCAGAGACAGGCTGGCTGGCTGGCTGGCTGGCTGACATACCCATTGGGGAATGAGCTAGGATGGTTGGGTTCAGAAAAGGGCAAATTAAATCATCGAGGGGGTGTCGCAAACCCTCCACGAGGAGAGGCTGCAGTGTTGGGGGCTTTTTAATTCAGGGAAAAGGTGAATAAGAAGCAACAGAAGCTTATACAATTATGCACAGCCTGGAGAAAAAAGATAGAGAAAAGTGTCCCCCCCTCTTATAACACTAAAACCTTCAGGACGTCCAATGGAGCTGAATGTTTTTTGTGTTTTTATATTGTGATTTTAGGTAACCGCCCCGAGACCTGCGAGTATAGGGAGATATACAAATTTAACAAATAACGATGATCATCACGATGATGGGAGATTCAGGGAAGATAAAGTGTGTCTTCAACATTAACTCCATTGTATGAGAATCCCTTGGGGCATTTCCGGGATCAAATCAGAAACTGAGATGGCTTCCATAAATCCGGGACTGTCCCAAGAAAATAGGGACTACTCGGATGTTCTCCTTACAGCACATTGATGATGATTTGTGCTCACAATTCTATTGGGGGTGTCACACGCAAACCCATTTCCAATCCTGTTCATGCCTGCAAAAACTTCCATGGCAGCCTCACAGCTTCCTTTCCAAACAGTTCGTATCCTGTAACTTCTTGCAGAAAGCTCATAACTTTCTATGCCACCA